TCCTTGTTCGATAGCTGTGGTACTGATCGTTCTCTTTGTATCGCGGAATGTTCGTTGCTAGCTAGCTAGCGCATTTTGTGATTTCACGATATCTGTTTTTATTATTAACAGTGCGTGCTTCTTCCCCGCTGTGGTTTCGCATTGTTGCATTATTCGTTCCATGCACTGATAAAATCAGTAATGTCAACGAGACAATACTGGCTTATGAAGGAAGAATGGAGAACTTGCAGATGCTCCTCCGAGGAAGCGGTGTTGTTGATTATACGGCTTGGACTGATGGGGGACCGGCGCAAGGTGAGATTTTGTGGAGAACTGTGCGCGCGCTCGTAGCAGGCGAGTCATCACGGAATATGGAGAAATTGATTTCACCGCATAGTAGCGATCTTTCGTTCTGCTGCTTGAAGGGTACCGAAATGTAAAATTTATGACTTCCATTGATCTGGGCTTTCAACTTCAGATTGTGTTTGAATTATCTTGAACGTTGTGGGCTGAAATTAGAAGCAAGAACGTACGGGAGGTTTGAAGTACGTTCCAAACGGAGATCGGGCCTCCAACAGAGATCCGACTCTCCGTCCCCAAACTACCTTTTCCCCCACTTACTTCCTCACCGTAGATTGAATCTACGACGGCATAATCCATCCCTCGTTTCCACAGCACTAACTCTGGAATGCCGGATTCAGAGATTGTAATGCGTGATATATGCTACAGAAATGTCAGTAAATAAGACTTACGATCTGACGGTTTGGAGTTCGCTTGTGTCTTCTGACTGAGTGCCCTGTGTCAAATTATCTGATGTTGTTCATCGACTGAGTGCGCTAACGTCAACCAGTCCAGTCACGCTATCATCGGCGCATTCATCAATCGCTCATTTTGTCCCGTGTTTAGTATAATAAATTCTCTTTTGTCGCTGTTTTAACCAAATATCTTAGCTGGTTCCTTCGATCCATCGATACATTTACAGGCGGCAGCAAAGGAACCCTCTTTTAACTCTCCTTAAGCTAAAAATTTTGTTTCTGTAATTGACATCCCACCTTTAACTGCTCCGGTATCTATATGCGTTTACTCATATGCAAATACGATCCAGGCTGGAACGCACCGGGCGGGCCCGTACGATCATGTGTTTTTGCATTGGACTTGAAGTACTCAGATTTTTAACTGCATGAATGGTTGTTACTTTACACCTATCTTTTGCGCTCACCAGCGTAAATCACCATGAATTTTAAACAAAGCAAATGAACAATTTCCATTTAGCGGTCGTTCTTTGAAAGTAACTTAGCTGTTCAGTGAACAGTTTTCTCGTCAAATCTTTCAAGGGCCCGTGCGTGAAAACCACGCATAGCTGAAGGCTGAATTTGAAACATTTAAACTGTATTTGGACAAGGAGCATTACCCTAAAATTTCAGTCTTCCAGCTTTTCTGGTTGCCCAATTCGCAATTCTTCCGCTAAATCTTTCACGTGCTCGTGCGTGAGAACCACGCGTAAATAAAGGCTGAATATGAAATATTTAAGTTGTACTTGAACAGAGGACATTCCTCCAAAACTGCAGCTTTCTAACTTTCCCGGTTCACGCGTTAGTAATTTTCCCGCCAAAACTTACACGCGCCAGTACTTGGGTACTCCACCTACCTGATTTGAAATCATTAAATTGCATATGGACAGGGAACATTCCGGTAAAATTTCAGCCTTCCAGCTTTTTATGCGTTTTTGCCTACATGCAAATTGCAAAAACGCATATTGGGACGACCCTGTCTGTGTG